TAATAAATTAACACAAGTTAAATTACATTAAAATAATAACATTTTTTGAATATTGCCTATATATAGGTCTTTTAGTACGTGAAGAATAGAAAAAGCTAATCTTTACAAATAATAGAGAGTAATTCTAATGAAAATCTATTCTTAGGATATTTTCGAATTTATTATTTTGCTCGATTATATATATAAAACTTGTGTTGCTGAAATAGCACTACATATACTAAGAAGACTAGCAACAACAGTTATAACAACAGTAGAGCCAGATAAATGAATAAATGTTCCCATTGTAGAAGATAAACATAATTGTGCTAAGAATACCATACTACTAATAACAGCAACATCTGTGCCAATACCACGTACTTGTCCATCGCAACTAAATGTATTTAATGTATGATATTTTGCAATAAGTAAATATGGAATTGTAAATAATGTTGAATAGAGTATACCAGCTACAGCTGAAAGTACAATAACACCGATACGATGTTTTACATATCCCATTAATAACATTCCAATTGCGTATATCAATTGAGATCCAATATAAACACGTTTAATACCTTTGAAGAAAAACAAAAAAAAAGTTTTAAATCATATTTGAAATTAAATTTAAATATACCAAAATAATTATTCAATGATTCAATATTATATGAATAGATCGAACAGGATATTGAATAAATTGACATACCCCATGAACCAAATCGAACACCATCATTATATAATAATCTTAATGGATGATTATATTCAAGTTTTGGATCTCCACCTAAATAAAAAAATAATACTAAACTTATTGAAATCTAATTATTAAAAATTCAAACCAAAAACAGCTTGTCCAACAAAATCAGTAAAAAATAATGAATAGGATACTAAAGCCATCCAAGAAAAAAAATTTGTTAAACAAAGCCATCTTAATGCTGATGGCATATAAATAATTGATCGAATATAATCACAATATGATATTTCTATATTATCTTTAATTTCATCATCATTATTATAAATATTTTCTGAAGCAACAATATATTGATGTGATGTTGATCGAACAAGATTCGATGCTATACTTGTTATTTCTGTTGGTTCTTTTTCTGCTGTTAATGTTAATATCATACAAATCATATAAATAATCCAAACTAATGTAAAAACAACATGTATATGATCACCAAGTATACTAGCAAAAAATGTATGTTCCCATGGTATACCACCAAGAAAATATCCTAAACAACCACCAAAACCAGCCATAAATGTAAATGTTGTAAGACCAGATGCATGTTGACTTGGACTAGCAACATCAAGTAAATAAGCTCGACTTGGACTTTGACATGCATCACAATCAAGATCAAGTAAAAGAACACCAAGTACAGTTAATGTTGTACCATATTTATATGATGATAATGAATTAGGAATTCTTTGACTTTCAATTTTACTACTATTATATAATTGTTTAGTAGAAATATCTTCATTTTTTTTATCACCAAACCATTCACCCATAGTACGACCTAAAAGTAAGAAATTGAATTATTCAAAAAAATGATTTTATTATTTGATTTACCGTTTGCAACTAATAGAAGACCTAGTAAAATACCGATTGAATAAAGAAATATAAATGGACGTCGTCGTCCAAAACGTGTATGACATTTATCACTAAGTGAACCAAGAGCTGGTACAAGAAAGAAACCAATTAATGGTGATAAACACCATGTCCAAGTCATAAACATAACTGGTAAACCTATTTGAAGTAAAATAGGTGAAACAAACGCTGTTTCAGCTGCATAACAAAATTCAATTCCACAAACAACAGCACTTAAACGTATAAGATCTAATTTACTTTTATAATTCTTATTTGTATCATAATTAAATTGTTCATAAGAATTTTGTTTTTTGAATTGTCGTGTTAAAAAATCAACCATAATTTTTCTCAAGTGAATGAAGAATAGAAAAATTATTTGTTATATATAATATTCTACATTTCTAATGGTAAGAGTAGTGACGTATTTTAAGATGTGCAAGATTAATATTTCTTTTTCTTTTCCTTTTGCGTGTCATCCGACGTATACAATATCATAATTCTAATTGCATTTTTCTCGAACAAAGAAAGATAATAATCCAAAGATATTGATGTTTTTTGATTAAAAATCTTATGCAAATTTTGGTTGTCTCTTACGAGTTAATCAAATTTAGTAATTTATATTCTGAAGAAAATAGTTGTTTTACGTGTGATTTAAAAATAAATTTCTATTAAGATTGTATATTAATTAGATATATTATATTTCCGTTTATATTAATTGATTCCGGTAAAGAAATAAGATCTGTCCTTGAGCATGTTAATATTGTTTATTAATAGAACAAAAAAAGGAAAATCCAACCTAAAATTTATTGTCAATTTAATATTTCCATGAAAAAGCACTTACAGTGAGGATATTAATGATAAATTTGTTTTATAATGATATAAGTGACGAGATCTTCATAATAACTTCACGATCGTACTCTATGACAGATGTATTTATTAAATAAAATAATTAATAAAATTCAGCATTCTTTTATGAATATACGCAAAACATTGCTTGATTATTATAATCTTATTTTATTTTCATTGTTAAAAGTATGGTACCTTTACTTTACTTTTTCAAAATAAAATAAAGATAAAGTATGGCTATCATTTAAGTAGTCAGTAAAATAAATGAACAGTCGGTAGATTGAAAAATGAAAAATCAGTAAATTCATTGAATGGTTAATAAAATAATGATTGGTCAGTTATTAATAACATAAGACTAATTAAATAAAACGGTCATTAGATAAAGTTTTTCATCAGTTGGCAAAATGAAGTAGACTATAAAAATAAATATTTCTCGTAATATTGTTCACTTCAATTTTTCTTCTTTTCCTTTACATATATATCTATGTATGGTATTTTTCTCTTTTCCTTCATATATGATTCATATGGAATTTTCTCCTTTTCGTTCACATATATGTTCGTATGGGATTTTTCCTCTCGTTATCTTAATGCGTTCTTCTTCTGTTCTTTTAACTTATAATGAAATATGTTATTTCCAAGTGGTGAATTATAGGATATCACTTAGGTATTTTCCATAGGATATGTTGTATTACGAGAAATTGGAATAATCAAAGTAACGATTTCTTGTCCTATAAATACTTGCGTTTTCTTCATGAATAAACAAACTATTACTGAGCATCCGAACTATCATCTTCTTCCACAAGTTACGGTAAGACTGCACCAGAAGTGAAATTTTTAATTCATTTTTTAATTCATAATGTACAGATCATCAAAAATGGTTGCCTTAACTGCGGCTACTGTAACTATCGTTGCAACAGGAGGTGCTGCTGCACCTGTCATATTAAGTAGCGCAACGTCAGGTTTAGCAGCTGGTGGAACAGCGACAGGCGTTGCAACTGCAGCAGGCGCAGGTGTTGCTACAACAGTAGGTGCATCAGCTGCCGCTGGCGGAGTGGCTGGTACTATAACAGCAGCTGGAGCGACCAGTGCAGTGGTTACTGCGACAGGTTAGCAACTTTTTAATTACATAAACTGAACGTACTATTCTAATCATTATATTGGTTAACGCCTAAAAATAATAAAGAATTATAATTTTTTATAATTAGGAACGGCAGCTGGAGCGGCATCTGGAGGCGCACTTAGTTCCATTATTGCAGGTGTGGTTTCGGGTCCTGTGGGTTGGACCATTCTTGGTTCTCCAGAGGACACGTTAACTGGTCTTCATACTACATTTGATTGTTGGAAGCCAATACTTCACGATGATTCAGTTGAACCATCAAATGGAAAACTCTTGCGAGATATAGTTGTGGATTCACGCATACAGAAAGTAACAATACAAAACAATTCTGATGGTAGTATATCACAATTTGTACTTGAAAACATATGGAATGAAAGTTTTAATATCGAATTCTTTTATTTAATGCCAATGAAACAACTGGTTGCTCATGCTGATAAGATATAACTTTTCCTATTATATTTTTCAATGAACTTTATGCTATTCACTTTACTTTCAATATATTAACAGGAGATTTTGTAAGAAAATCGTAATTTTTCTAAAATTTTGTTTTAAAAATATAACAACATGCTAGAGGACTTTGATTTAAAACTTCAATTTAAATACATTTCCACTTTCATTTCATTATTTATTTTAAATTATTTACTCGTAACCAACTGATATTCTATACCTAGAGTATCATAATTTATTTCAGATTTTTTTTAATTTTTTGATTAACAATATTTTCGTTTTTTAGATTGAAAAAAGGATAC